TATATATATACCTAATTCCCAATGTTCAGTTTGAAAAAATCCAACCCAGTTCAAGTTCAGTATGGCCTCCAACGATCTATTTCTTATTTTTCAGTACTCCAATCCACTGACTTCGAGTCCGCGTCAATAGTTTTATCCGGGACGATCATTCGCTTCGCGACATTGTACATTGCTTTCCATCTCGGCTGTTTGGAAACCCCCGTTGTTCTCCGTCGATTTTTGTGTCCCATGAACTTGATTTGCTGTTTTTTTCATCTCTTTATCTCTTCTTTCCACTATCACTCAGTGCTGTTTCATTTCAAACAATTTGTATTTTGGTACTACAGTAAATTTGCTATATTTTATAGATTTCTTCGTGTTACAAAGTCTGTTGCTAGAGTATTCATTAGCCATGGTGAATTGAAAGGTGTGAAGTTAACGCTGGAGCCTTTTTTGAATGTCTTCCGAGGGGTTACACGAGAAGTCTAGTCTAGTTCCATTGCGAAGGACTCAATGTAACTTTTTATAGTAAATAGATTTCCAAAAAACGAATCACCATGAAGTTATATAGTTGTATTCCTAGTCCTAGTTCTAACTGATNACTGATATAAGCGCCTCATTCACTTCCGCGTAAAGGTATTTTGTGTGTGCATATTTTCGAAAAGTATTTCGTCACTTAGTCTATATGTTGTTTCATGAAAATCGCCCAAAAGGACTACAAAACGTTTCAGACTCGTGAACCAATTCTACCGGCTCAGTGTAAACGGTCAGTGCCTCGCTTGGTGAACATGCTCTGTGTTCTTCAGCAAGGAGTTATTTGTGCATAACACCTAATTAGTAAGATAACTGAAATGGTTTGCATTCGTAATGAAATTCGCAGAGCACGGGACGTATGCTTTTTATGGTAAATATGCTCGTTATCGTCTCTTTGTGATTCATCGGTTTCGAAGTGAATCCACGAATTTCGATGTTTTTCGAGACAAACAGAGAGTGAAAGAAGGTTAAAGGAAGCCAAACCGAGATACAAAGCGAGGTTCCAAAGAGACCAGTGTATGTAGATTGCGTTAGGCTTTTCGGTTTATGGCTTCACGATCATCGTTATCGGCGATTAGACGTTGGTACCAGTCTCGTGAGTGTATCTTGTAATAATCTGTGTAACTTTAGTTTTCCCTGATTTCTCTTTCTTCCCATTGTTTTGAAAACAATTCTACTCCTTATTGAGGAAATTAGCTTGTCTTAGCCACGACGAATGAAAACCAAAACACAAAGGCGTCACCAACGCCGCGAATCGATTAAATGGTCAACTATAGGAGTCCGTTTTCCAGTCTTGTTTGAATGGATATGAATGTTGTCTCTTGAGGGCGAAATAATCGAAAACATGTTCGTCTATGCAGCGTATTTCAAACGTCCCTCTTGGTTCTGTTTGTAAACTATGACAAACGAGGTACTTCTGGATAGGTTCTCTAGTTGAGTGGGTTAGGTGACTGTGTATCTCGCAAGCCTCAATCCCCAGGCCGTTGATCGAACATGAATAAGGCAACGTGTGGATAATTACGTTGAGCGTAAGAAAGCGAGTCGCGGTCGATAAACCGATCGCGAACTTCTCATCGTTATCACCTGGGATGATAGGTTGGTGCCAGTGACGACAGTAGCTTTTTATTACGCACCTAAGTGTGATGAACAGCGGATGGAGCGAACCCCATAGATAGACGTCTTGCTGTTCAGTGATGGAAACCGGTAACCTGAGCCCCGGGGCTTGGAGTGGTGAACCACAGAAGGCCCCGATAGGTTAGGTGTAGTATTGAACCGGAGGACAGCAGAGCTGCCTACCACCAAAGTCGGGTGACGGTGGCGAGGCTTGATCCTCGGACCATCGAGTCCAAAGCACGCCGGTGACAGCGACTAAACCACTGCGCTATCACCACCCCATTTAATTACTCATTCAATATTGTCGATTATTTCAGGGCAGTCATAATATGTCAATGGCAACCAGTCCGCGTACTCTGTGACAGCCATCGAGACTGAGCAATGTCGATGCACTTGTCAACTGGAACCAGTGATCGATCTCCAGAGTATACGTTGGCTGGGGCGTTTTACGCATATCACTAAATAGGTTGCCACGGCGAGCGGTTTGCCGAGGCAGGTCAAGGGTGGTCAAACAAAGACCTGACCTGAGGGTATGGAAACCCTAACCAAGAAACTAGGTCACACAGGTCCCGTTAGGCTCTCTGGCTGGAACCTCGGGGTGCTGATCACGGACGGTTAGGGACAGTGATGTGGCTGGTTGGCGCTCGTGCATCCACTCTTTATTCCTCCAAACACCATTCTGTATGGAATCCATCTTCCGCTTGAGTTTGCTCTCAATATTCCAAGCTTCATTCTGCTCTTTTATCCGAACGGAGCACCAAAGGATAGCAATCAAACCCGGCGCACAAAAATGCACGGTTGATGTTTGTAAAGACAAACTGATACTCTATTGGTGTTCCTCCGAGCTCTTAGACTATCACCTTTTCATCCATCAATCGTAGCTGAAATCCTGCTTCGCACGATTTTACAGCTTTATACTTCACACCGGCGATAATTATAACCACTTAAAATGCACTTTGATGATAGTCGTCTACCCGGAGAAATTTTACCGGCATTAAAACCACAGTTTCGCATTCGCCACGTTGCATTAAGAAATGCACATTTCTGTATTGAGCATGATGTGATTTACCCACAGTCGAAATATCTTTCGTCGTTATAGAAAGCTGACAAGGTGTCGGTGACTTGACCCGGTCTTGCTGTACCGCGTTAACAATCCCTGAAATCACAATTCTTGGTTTGTTTAATGCTTAGGTGAACTAGTTATCTCCCACGACGAGGCTATACCTTGAGGCGGTGTGATGGCTTGTATGCCTCCATGACCCTGCGAGCTATACAAGAGAGCTACTCAGCCGTAGATCCAATCATGCCTAAAACGTCAACGGGTAGAGACCAAACGAAGCTCAGTCTCACAAACCAGCTGCTTGGGCACCTCCTGGCTTCCTTCTTTCCACACCCGCCACTAGCAAATAAACACGGGGAGGGGCAGTTTACCGGTAAAAAAACCTCTCGTTAGAGGGAAGAAGGAGCGGGGTACCTGGGTTTCCTCTGGACGGTGGGAAAAGTCTTCGCACTTCATTGGACAGCTACCGTCCACCCAAGCCAGGCAGCCCCCAGCCAATAAGGTGCTGTCCCGTCCACGTTCCGCTTGTCTCATTGGATGCATGAGGCGGACCGACAATCAACACACCAGCGAACAACACAACTAATGGAAATTCAAAGGCCTTGCGTGACAGGTCTCCACAAGCTCCCACACAGGTGCTTCTTTCACGTTCCCGCTTTGGATTTACGCCCCACTGCCTTGTGGGTCAGACTTTTGATTCGAATGCTCCGGTTAGGGTTTCCAAAGAAAAGCTTCTTTGTCGGCGTGGGCTGCCGCAAAGTATGCCTTGCCCTAAAGTTTTAGGTACCCATTTGGAAAACCATCTTTCCCATATGTCTAGTTATTCTCCTCAATCCCAAATAATCCCTGGTGCCTCCTATTTACAAGACCCGTCGGATATCACAGCTTTCAACTAATAAGGGGAACCACTCAGAGGCTACCAGATTTTGAAACCAAAATCACCTTCGCACTTAGCTACACTCAATGTCTACGCACTATCAGATCGGTCCACAAGCTACCTTAGCTAGAAACTTGAAACTTTCAATTCATATGTTCTTTGTGTTTCTGAAACATGCATACATGACCTCACTTCCATTATCTCCTTGCGCTCTCCAGATCCAGTCTCATCCTCACGCTTCACTCTCCGAGTGTCAGGCGATTTGGTGCCCGAAGCTTGCGGTGTTGCTGGTA